ATCCCTTAGCGCCTGTTAGGGAGGGAGGAGTAAATTTTTGAAAGAGTGAAGAGATTGAAAAAATAATTTTTTTTCATATGAATTCTCCAAAGTGTGGAGATTAAAAAAAAATTTTTTTTTTCAATTCAAAAATTCATTCCTCCGACCCTAACTGCGACTAAGGGATGAAATTTGTGCCAACGTGTTGAGCATTTAATACTCAATACGTGACACAAATTTCATCCCTTAGCACCTGTTAGGGAGGGAGGAGTGAATTTTTGAAAGAGCGAAGAGATTGAAAAAAAAATTTTTTTTCAAATGAATTCTCCAAAGTGCGGAGATTGAAAAAAAATTTTTTTTTTCAATTCAAAAATTCATTGTTCCGATCCTAACTGCGACGAAGGGATGAAATTTGTGCCAACGTGTTGAGCATTTAATACTCAATAAGTGACACAAATTTTATCCCTTAGCGCCAGTTAGGGAGGGGGGAGTGAATTTTTTAAAGTGCGAAGACATGGAAAAAAAAATTTTTTTTTCAATTCACAAATTTATTCCTTTCACCCTAATTGCGACTAAGGGATGAAATTTGTGCCAACGTGTTGAACATTTAATACACAATAAGTGACACAAATTTCATCCCTTACCGCCTGTTAGGGAGGGAGGAGTAAATTTTTGAAAGAGCGAAGAGATTGAAAAAATAATTTTTTTTCATATGAATTCTCCAAAGTGTGGAGATTAAAAAAAAATTTTTTTTTTCAATTCAAAAATTCATTCCTCCGACCCTAACTGCGACTAAGGGATGAAATTTGTGCCAACGTGTTGAGCATTTAATACTCAATACGTGACACAAATTTCATCCCTTAGCACCTGTTAGGGAGGGAGGAGTCAATTTTTGAAAGCGCGTGGTCGCCCTCCAGTGAACTCCGGTGACGAGTGGCGCGGGGAAAGCGCGTCTCGTTTGAAAATTCATCCCACCCCCCCTAATTGTAGCTAAGGAATGAAACTTGTGTCAGATATTGAGTATTAAATGCTCAATTCAATGACACGAGTTTCATCCCTTTGCGCCTTCTGGGGACGGAGGAGTGACTTTTTGAAAGCACGTGGTCGCCCTCCAGGGCATTTAATATTCAATAATTTCCTGTCAAATCGATTACCTGTAAAGAAAGAACATAAATAAGCCTTTTGCAGAGATTATTGGTGTTTTTTTCAAATTTTATCCTCTTTCTTTTACCCACACCCTCTTTTGCTCATATACAAGGCGTCGTCAATTGTTTGATCTCTTTTTTTCCCCCTCCGCCGTTCATGACAACATCAACTGACGATCGTGTATTGTTTTTGAGGGAAGCCCAATTTCCATTCCGATCATTTTGCCTCGTGATTCCGTTCGTAGCTTTTATCGTGCCAATGGCGTTCACTGCTCGAGAATATCGCGATATGCATTTTGTGTATGATGAGTGTGGTG